GTCTCATGTCCGTGGTGCCGCAGGGAACAGTGCAGCCGTGTTCTCCTGGTGGAGGACATGTTGTGCTGGAAGCGCAGTACCTGCCTAGGTGGGCCTTTGGGGCTGAGCAGCCATTCCAATGTCCTCATTTAAATTTCATTGATTTTTCTAAAGAATTCTGTCTCCCCTGACAGTCTAGAAAAAAAACCTCTTGCCCTGACTGGCGCAACAGCCTCGTGATTTCTATATATTGACAAAGTGGATTCACACTGTCTTAACATGGGCAAGCTATTCTTCAGCACGCTCGATCAGAGGAAGAGAAAATTACATTTACGCACCTCCTGCCGCTCTCCTTACGTTTCCCATCCCAGCTATCCAGGGGCAGGCGTTGCTGTCAGCTCCCACCTGCAGCCTGCCCAGCGAAGCCGCACAGCGCCGGGTTTTCACAGGAATATCTGCTCCCGATGTGGGCAGTGCCCAATTAGGCACAGTGCCAGAGTACGAGTTGGCAGGGATATTTTTAGTCATCCTCCGAGGTTCCTTTCCGCCTCTTGGCTGAATTGAAACAGTTTTGTGAAGGCTCTCTGTGTCCCAGGCTGGTTTCTGGCTCATTTCTCGGGGTCAGGGAGTCAAGGAGCTTCTGGGAGGACTCTTCAAACTTAAATGCCTTCAGCAACAACAGAGAACGGCCTTCACACTCCCTCTGTGGAAGCTGGTGTACCGTGGCAGGCTGGAGGGGCCACCTGAGCATCGTGCTGAGCATCTCTGGCTTCCACTTTGCTGGCCATTATGTGTATGTAGGGGTTTCAGATGAGGAAGCCTTCAAAGGTTTCAGGATGACAATCCTGCTGTTTCCAGCATGCGCAGTCCCTGATGACCTGGTTCTGGAGCTCGTTCCTGTGCTTGCATTTCGGTGTGTCATTCAGGCAATGCTTTCGTAGAACTGTGAAGACCACCAAGATGAACCAGTTCCACCATCAGCCCCTGATCATGGCCACCACAGACAATGTCACTCAGTGCCCCATATACCCTCTTCTTGAACACCTCCAGAAGCAGTGACTCCACCACTTCCCTGGCAGCCTGTTCTTCCAATACCTTCACTACTCTTTCCGAGAAGAAATGCTTCCTAATATCCAACCTAGTTGAACCTTCCCTGGTGCGACTTAAGGCCATTACCTCGTGTCCTATGGACTGGGTTTTCCAGGAACAGGTGAGAACTGCAGACATAGATGAGACCCAAAAACCTGAAAGCTGTGCGCTGTGCCTCACCAGGGAGCTGCATGACCCACCCAAAGCCCCCAGTGATGAGAATTTGTTTTCATGGGAAATTTCCACTGTCAGGACTGGTTACGGCAGGAGGCCTTGCTCTCATGAGCTTTATTTCTGAGAGTGACAGCTCTGCTATGCAGCTCTAAATATATGTTTTCTGGTCCTGATGTCCTATTTAGGTCAAAGCTTGTGCTTTGGCTTCAAGAGAGCTGGAAAGTATAGACTTACCATTGTGGATAATTAGCTGCCTCTGAGGCAGGAATTATCTTTAAAAGGAGTTGAGTTGGGGTGGAAAGCTTGTGCCAGAAGTGGGACCAGAAAATGCTTGTTTGCTTCTGTATATGCAGATGTGAATGACTTTTCCTAATAACTTTTGGGGGAGTAGTAAGTAGGTAGCTGCTTTGCTTTCCCAGCGCTGGGAGCTATTTATCAATCCAGATTAGGAAGGAACAGCAGGAACAATGGGACGTTTCCTGACTGAGCCGCATTATCTTTAATCTTTCAAACAATCTTTTCAGGGAAAGACCTTGCCCTTGAACTCTGTTGTAGTTTACCTGCTGTGCTCATCTCTTCTGTGCAGTCGGGCAGCATCCCATAGGCTGTGTGGGCAGCTCTGCTGCTGCAAAACTCTCAGGCATGTTGGTGGCTGCTGCTGAGCACCAAAACTTCTGGACAATGGCTGTGGAATAGGGTGGTAGGGTTAAGGTCTGCAGCCAGAGGGGAGCTGCTGGTGCAGCTGTTCTACTCCATGGTGCAACACTCCAATCCTGTCTGAGCACTGGGGCATTCAGAAATGCTTTCAGCTTAATAAAAACTGCAGTGAAGCCGTGGCTGTTTAGTGTCTGGCTGGGTCTGGGGCAGCTCATTCTATCTTGTTTTACATCAGGTGTTTGTGTCATCTTACTACTGCTTGTCCCCTGCATTTCAGCCAGTACCTGGCCCTTGGGATCATGCCCCTGGGCTTCTGCACTGTCTGTGCCTGTGAGGACATTGGTAGGGGACATAGGGAGCACCCTTCTTCTGCAGGGCAGGCTGTTGTTCCCCTTCCCCAGCATGGATGCTGACTTCAGGAAAGAGGGCTGCTAGGGATCTCTGATTCATGTATCACTTCTTGGTTCCTGAGAGTGACATTTGCAGCCTGCAAGCTGGACACTTGCACTAGCCTGAAGTCTTTGTGGCTTTGGGCTGCATTAGCACCATCTGCCAGAAAAAGAGAGCTTCCAGCACCCACCAGTGATGTGAGCATCATCACATCAGGGTGTGCAGGGAAGGACATGACTTCTGGTTTTCTGGTGGTGGTATTCCTTCACACAACTAGTCACGTGCTTACGTTTTTGGAAAAGACCTGTACTCCAGCCCACTTCCTGCTCAACCTCTGCAGTGAGGAACCTCCTCTCTCCAGCTTTCCAAAATGGGTTCAGCGTGACTCCCTGAAAGGAAACATCTCCTGGAGTGGCACACATCCTGCAGAGTGCCCCTGGCAGCTGCAGCAGGGACAAGAGGGGCTCTGCTTGTTTTCGGAACAGAAAAGCAAACCTGATGTTGGAAACTTGTTAAAATAGAAGCCTTTATATGGGGGAAGGCTGCAGTGGGTGAAGACTGTGCCTATGCTGCCTCTTTCCAACAGAAATATTTGGAAGCTACCAAAATTCCAGGGTTTCTGCTCAGCTGAAGCGTTGTGTCTTTAAAATTCCTCATTGCTGTTCTAATCTCGACTTAGCAGTTTGTTATCTTGACATTATAAAGTCAAATGCCATCAATGATAGGAATAAGTATTTCCCTGTGGAGCATTATCAGAGTCGATGTAGGGAGGGTTTCCTTAGCTGGATTTCACCAAAATTTCTGCTGGCAGAAAAGTCTAAGTTGCAAGAAACCTATCAGCAAATGCTGCCCAGGGCTGTCTGTCCCTGGCTGCCTGGTCATTGTCACTGTCACCTCCCTCAGGCTGCTCCCAGGCCTGCTTTGGAGGTACTGACCAGACTATGACACTGTATTGAAGGACTCCCACCCCAATATCAAGGCCTGATGGAGGTTTGTTTACACCAAAACTGGGATGTGGGCTGAAGCTGGTCCCTTCTGGGAGCCTGCCACCAGGTCTGCCCGTTGTGCAGGGTGGCCCTTTGGTCCTCTGTTGCTGCTCATTGGTCTCAAGCCTGAAATGGATCTTGCTGTGAAATGGATGTGACTGACATTTAGCAGAAATCCTAGTCCTTGTCAGAACAGCGCCTGGGGAGATGCAACGCTGCTCAGCCATCTGGCCAATATCACCCCTATTTTGTGAGCTCGGACAGCACCTCGCTCCATCAACAAATGCTCTTGGCTAATACTGGGTGGTGCTTCCCAGAACAGACATGAACAGGAAAGATATTTTTCTCAGCATTAGTTGGCCTCAGCGCAACCTCAGTGGTGCTGTCTGGGTGGAAGGAACCAATCTGGACCACTAAGCTGGATTTGACCATGCCACAAAGTCCAGGTGCAGTGAGTGAGCAACATGGGGCCCAGGCTGCCTTCCTACCCCCTGGCTGCAGAGCTCTAAGGTAAATGCTGTGCTCCAACCCTCGTGATGCAGCAGAATTAGAAATATCCCAGTTGAGGGAGGTACACTTCCAGTATCCCCTTTGAGCGAAAGCATAGATGCAGTATGCACTCCTTCAGTGCATTAATTTTACATAGGTGCAAAGTGAGCCGTTTTTCATCTCTCCCTTGACCGCAGACTTGCTGGCAGACCTGGGAAGATGTGGTTTGCTGTCCCCCCACCCCCCGGCTGCATCTGGCTGCAGCTGTCATTTCAAGTGAGTGCTGGAGCTTTCTTCTCAGCCTGATCATGCACTTTTTTTTTAATGCATCAGCCACCTCTTCAAAGAAGAAAACGCGTAAGGACGTAAAGAGGACTTAAGCAGCTGTTTCTAACCAAACTGAATTTCAAGATTTGCTAAGAACAAAGCATTTGATTTGCTCAAAAGACAACCAGACATCTGTTCAAGGGCTATGATTCGCGAGGAACGCCAAGATGCTCCAGCCCATAACGAGCCCTGCCGGTACTCTGTGGCCGCCGGGCCGGAGGACGCGCACCGGACCGGATCCCCGCCGGGCTGCGGGACCCGCCGGGCTGTGCCGGTTCGCCGTGCCCGCTCCCGGGGCTGCCCCGACCTCCAGCTGCGGCCCCGGTCCGGCTCCGCGGAGCAACAGCGGCCTCCAGCGCCCAAACCTCCTACCTCCGCATCCCGGCCCCGTCCTCGCAGCAGCTCCTGCTCACGGGGTGCCAGCCCTGGGAGCAGCAGCGGGGCCACGGTAGAAAAAGCCTTTTTTCTTTCTTTCTCTTTAACCCCCTGGAAAAATTGCGGACTGATCGTCTTTCTCGGGCACCGAGTGGCCGTGGCCCTCAGGGCCAGTGCTCCATTGAGCTGCATGGAGAAGGCAGATCTGCCACCACCGAGGGGACCTGTTGGTCCTCTTGTCCTGGCAGAGCCCTGGAGTGAGGGCTTTGATGCCTTGCTTTTAGCAAACGTCACTCAAAGTTATGAGGATGCTTAAAATATCCCCTATGAGAAGTTTAGGAAAATGGGATTCTTTATGCTATAGGGAGATTCCTTGTTCTTAGGAATGACCTGGACTTTCCCCCTGGGGCTCCATCAGTACTCTGTGTGGGTGTTACCAAAGTTCCCCACGTTTTTCAGGAAGGTATTTTTAAGTGCTGGGGAAAAGGGTGCATTGTGTGTAAGAGAAATCCCAGAGTGAGCAGTTGTCATGCTTCCAGTTTATTTGGAGTTTGTAGAGGTGAGGAATACCTTCATGCCATCTTCTCTATCACAGCTGTGCCTTTAATTTCAAGCAGTTCTGGAGCGTGGAGAGGGCTCTTGGCACTTTCCCCTGTTCTTTATGCGCACGTTAGTGTGTCTTTGCCTGGAAGAGAGGTTAAAAGTGCCAGAGGATGCCTTTAAGTCCCTGACTCAAAGAGCCTGGCTCAGGGGATGAGGATAGAAGTAAAAATACTGCTTAATTCTTCCTTTAAGCATTACATTTAAGTAAGCCCACATACTCTTGACAGAGAGTTCAGGGTTATCATGGGCATAGGCTAATGTTAATTAACCAATAAGCAGAGAGCTGGCACTTCCCAGTGCCTCCGGGCAGAACAGTTCACCTCCTTGCTGCAGGACTAATGTCAGTCACTTCCAATGCCTTCCAATGCCTGGCTGGAGATGCTGAAGGTCATAACTCTGTTTGTGTGAATTTTTTGCAGACAAATGTCTGCCACTTTGCTTGGATTGGGCCTGCTCCCAGCTTCCCATGTGCCTGCTTCTGTATCCAAAATAAGGAAAATATTTTTGGTAACCCTCACTTTCCCCCCCGTGACCATGGAGATCCCCATCCCCACCAAAGCTGTGCTCTGCACCAAGGAGACGTGGAGCCCTTGATGTTGCATCGCTCCCTGCTCACATGGCTTCGAAGCCTTCCTCACTCTCCTGGTTTCTGGCCAAGGCCTTAACGATGTTGTGTCTGACGAACCTCCCACCCCCATCTGCTGCACAATGCAGCCGGCAGCTGGTGCTGGGCTGCTGGCTTCCAGCATGGTCATTATGGCCGTGCCGTGTCATTAACTGCAGTGCCTTCATTTGGAGATCCCGCTCAGCACCTCTCTGCCCTACTGCATTTCTTTAAGTGTAAAAGAACAGAATATGGAGCTGGAGCCTGAGTTAATGAAGGACAGGGGCCAGCCAGACCGACAGTTCTCATCCAGGCTCTTTGCTGATCTGGATTCTGTTCCTTGTTATTGCAACTGACAGAGCTCTTAAAAAAAACCCAGAATTCAGCTCCACAGCTCCATTTATCGAGGGACTGGAATCTGAGCTCCTGTTGGAGATGTCTTTGCTGATGGCAAGTGAGTGTGGTCACCCCAAACCCAGCAGGGAAAGCCAGTGTGAAGCTCCCTTAGCCTCGCAGACTGCAGCACTTGCTTATGGAACAGACTTGCCCTTCCCAACAGAGATTTTCAAGTACTTAATAGCATTGAGTTGGAAGTAATTCCCTCACTTGTCTGCCATGGAGCACTTGCAATATATAAATATACTCAGAATTACCTAGGGCCCAAGATAGATGAAATGAATCAAGTCTTGCCAGACACTTCACTGGCTTTTGGTCCCGGCCTTCTGCAATCTGGCACCAGCACAGATTAAATAAAGGCTTATTCTTAAAAATATCCACAGCAAATTGTAACCTTTCAGATGCAGAGAAGACAGAAAGCAGAGCTCAGCTGTAAAGTGCTGGTGTGAAAAGCGGAGTATTTCCTCCACCCGAACAAATGCTTCTCTGCCTGCATGTGAAATCCAGGCAGGCTTTGCAGGTTTTGCCATTTGTCTGAGCTTCTGGACAGCCTCCAGCACAGCCTGGGCCACGGCACAGCTCAGCAGCTGCAGGTGTGGGGAGATGTTGGCCATTTGATCGCGGTGTGTGGGCAGATGGGCACAGCCTGCAGCCCTATTTCACAGCAGGAGCCCACATGCTCTGAGCAGCGTCGGCGGGAGGCCAGATGTGTGCCAGATGTGCTGGGCTCGCTGCCCATGCTCCACCCAGCGGCATGCACACAGCCTGCTGTCTAGGAAATCCCGGTGTCATCATCTGTGTGGTATTTAGGCTGGGAGGAGGCCTGGATACTCACATGTTCTGAACGCACAGCAAGCACTCGTTGCCATACAGGACATCATCTGTGCCACAGATGGGGTCAAAGTTCTTTGTACAACCTTTCCCTATGTCGTAATTGCCACATGCTGCCTGGAGACAGGAAAGAGAAATTCTGAGAATATCAAACATGCTTTCACTTTAGCACAGATGCTCTGCGTTCCCAGCAGTGTGCATGTTTTGTATGTCTTGATAACCCATCCCAGCTTGCTTAGCACTCTGCTATGAGCTGACAGGAACTGTGTCATCATCCCTTGGCGGTTGAACTCTACCTGGCACTCCTGCACACCTACGGCAGTGCCAACACAGAGCAAATAATGCTCCGTGGGCAGTGTCTGATCATGTTATCCCCAGTTTTTACTTTCTATGGCCACGAGAATACCTGCCCTTACACTTAGAAGCTGAAGAGTAATGGGAGCTTTGGTCTTCTCTTGGCAGGTAACAGCAACATTCAGCTCTTTGTTAACAGTTTCCCTTTGCTGACTGTGGGAAAATGCAAAGGAAGGCCAGTACCATCCCTGGGATTTGGCTGTGGTGCAGCAGGTGGAAGGAGGTTTTCAGGCACCAGCCTGCACTCCCAGCCCAGCTGCTCGTGTTACTTCACTGTATGCAGCAAGAGTAGAGCCCCAGTGCACGGATTAGTGCTCGCTCCCCAAAGTTGTCCATATCCTGGTGCTACAAAGAAACAGGAGCCTTCACCTCTGTTCCTTGGCCGGCAGTTCCGTCAGGCTCAGTATTGCCTAGAGAAAGTGTGAAGAGAGAAAAGACACCTTAGCATCTTCCTCACTCAAGTTAGCTTCTAGGGGTCCCAACAAAATGCTTCAGCCTGAGGACCGTGTGTCTTCACTCTGAGAGCTCTGCCCTTTCAAAGGCCCAACAAATAATTCCCTCCTTTGCATCTGTCCCATTTTACTTCTTTCCCTCAGCAGAAAGCTCACAATGGTGCAATTGCTTTCAAGGCCAGATGTGTACCCTGTGACTTTCCATGCTGTTTGTTCCAGCTGTCAGGGAGCAAAGGTGGCTTTTGTTATCTCTTATAACACGTTCATGGATAAATGAGAAACTTCTGTTGGTGCTGGACTGCTCCTGGAGTAAATCCGGGGTAAATTTTCTGGTGTCAGTGGTTTTGAACCACAAGGAAACAGAGCAAAAGGCAATTTGGTCTCTACTAGGAGGAGAAATGCTAGACCCTGAGGTCTTGCACTAAAGCTGGTGGGAGCAAGCTGTGATTTTGTTGGCTTTTTCCATGGAGAAGCTGGCCCTGAGCTGATGGCTGGGATGCTGTGGGTGGAACGACACAGTGGGTTGTTTTGAAAAACAGCCTGAATCTATCTGGCAGAAAGGAGTACTGGGCAGATGGCTTTGGGTTGCCTATAGATCCAGAACTCATCTACTCAAAGCATTTAGACTGCATCATCATCACCAGTCAGTGTGGCCCAATGGCAGTGGGTCTGTAGGGTGAAGTGGTTTGTCGCTGAGGATCTGGTAAGTCACACTTCTGTGCTCGAGGGGTTTTACTCTGAATGAGCACCAGTGCAGTCCCAGGAGCTGTGGATCTGTATGTGCTTGGTTCGTATAAAAGGAGGCCATGTTTTGTGCTCAAACTGTTCTGCAATGGCAACCACAGCACACAAAAATAGGATGATGGGCTGGCTTCAGAAGCATTGGGAATGAACTTGCTAATGCAGAAATCCCTGGTGAGCGGGACCTGGAGAGCAGCAACAACTCATGTTCTCATCTCTCTGCACCATATGGAATTTTGAAAACACAGTTGGCTTAAACATTGACTTTGGAAACAAGAACTGCATTTTCCCTTCTATAGATTTGTTTCCTGTCTTCCTGGTTTTACTTCTTTACAACTAGAATAACACCTATTTATTCTAAAACAATTGCACCGTCCTAGGAATCACCAGCTCCCACCAAATTCCAACCCCACAGGAAGAGTGTCAGCCCAGCAGCTCTGCTCACTGGGAGTCAAGCACCTTTAAAACTTCTCTAGGCTTGCTTGCAGACACTGCTTTAGTGCCCGCTGACACTGCAGCACTCTCTGGAGAGCACTGCTGCTCACTGCCCAGCAGCAAGGCCGCAGCGCAGCCGGCCCGTTCCCAGGCTTGCCTTCCCATGCGGCAGGCTTGGAGCTGGAGCAGGGAGAGGAAATGAAATGGCTCCTAAGCAAAATGTTGCACTCACCTTGGGTGAAGCCAATTGCTAGGAAGAGGAGCAGGAAAACAGCACTTGTTTTCATGGTCAAGGTGATGCTCGAATGGAGACAGCAAAGAGGAAACAGAGGACACTGCTCTGGATCACTGAGATGCCATCTCCAGCCACCTGTGCAGAGACCTTTATACTTTCCCATCGCTGGCACCACCCTCCATGGCCAGCTCCACCCCGCAGTGTCATGATGGCAACAGTGAAAGTACAGGGACAACAACAGGTGGCAAATGGCACAAGGATCAGAGGCTCCCAGTGCCACTGTCGGTCACAATCCTTATCAATAACAAGGGCTGGAGCCAGATCCTGTGCATGGGGCTGCAGGGAAGAAATGATGCTGTACAAGAGCCAGGCTGGTCAGAAAAGCAAGAGAACACCCACATGAACCGGACTCCCCTTTCCATGAGTGTGCAGCTTTGCTGACCAGCTCTGCCACTCGCAGGGCTCACAGCCGTCACAGTAACGGGTTCTGCCTGGACAGATGGAGGCGGCAGCAGGAACCGCTGCTGGAGGACACAGAGCCCGTATGTGCCTCAGGCTTCCTGCGGCTGCACGTGTAGAGCTGTGATTCTGCCTGCCCCTCTCTCTGGTCGCAGGCTGAACTGAGCTGGCCGGGTCGGGTGCTGCTCCCTGCCCCTCTTCCTGGCTGCGGGCTCCAGTGAGCCCTGGGGATCTCCTGCATTTACTCCTGCAGTGGTGCGCTGCAGACAGTGGATCAGTCCCTTGGGTATTAAAAGGATTAATTAATGTTTCTAAAGCACTTTGATATCTCAGCCATAAATCACTGGAGAAGTGCAAAGCAAATTATTACTAATGGGGGCTTATGACTCAAAGACAGATTTTTAATTAGCTGAGCAGAAAAAGTCAATGCCAAGAGCAATTCAAGGAGCTGTTTGTGAGACAGAAATCTCGGCTCAGGCAGCTGCCCTGCTGTCCAAGGGAGACCCCAATCCAAATGCAGCCCTGGAGGGTGCTTCACTTGCCAAAAACGTCCCCTGTGAGAGTGCTTACACAGAGACGGAGACTTTTCCTGCTCTCACGTAGGTTTCTCTCTGCTCTCCCAAGGACCATTTTCTGTATGAACTACTCTGGATGGCATTTTGCATTTCATTAATGGATTACTTAAAGCTGGCGTTGGCTGTGACCCCCTCAGCTTCTGTGAAGAGCCAGGTTGGGTGCTTGGTGAATCTCTGCGAGCAGGCAGAAGCCCTTTGGGTGCTGGGATAAAGTATTACTCTCTGAGGAGTGAGATATGGCCATTTGTTGAAGATGAAAGACATTCATTTCAGTCCAGCACTGTCCCTTTTGTTCCTCCAGTAAAGCAGACAGTGCCAATAGGTGCTTTGGTGTCACTTCCCAAAGCTGGAAAAAGACTTAGTAAGGGTGTTTATGGTTATGGCAGGCCAACTGGGGATAAAAATTTCCTCTTCAGTCTTTAACATATGTAAATAGAGCAGTGCTGAAAAGAGTTTCTCTGATTATCCTTGTTTGGGATGTGCCCACTCACAGTAAAACATGTTTGCACATTTTCCAGTTTAGAGAATCTCACTGTAGCCAGGAAATGTGATAGTTTTGATTGTCCAGAAAAAGAAATATCTTTCCTCAGATTCCTTGGAAACATTCAGGCACATTTCCAAACTTGAGTTTGGTGGGTAAATCCTCGGTGTTTACAAAAGTTGATCTGCAAATGAGAACTGTTGGTTCCTGGAACACTGCAGGTATGTATGATGCTGTAGTTTTCATCTTTCCTTCCTCTGCAAGCCAGATGCATCAAAGCAGGGACCATCTGCCTCCTGGACGCTTCTCATCCTCTGATTGCTTAAGCTCATGTTGGATTTGCAGTGACTTAACTTCATGTTAATGACCCTTCCCAGAGCTGTTTGAGATTAAGTGTTTTACTACTGAAATGTGTAGAACAAACAAACTCCACATCATGCAAGACAACAAGCTGAACTTGGTTATTCTACAACAAACGGAGCCAAACCAACTGATTCAGGGGCAGCAGCCTCTGTCAAATGGAGGACAACATAGGCTGCTAATGCTGCTGCACTCAAGCACGAGGTTTTTAATGCAATTTCTCTGTTAGCAATTGCCCTTCTTTCCCAAACGCCTCTACTGACACCTGTATGTTTGTAAGATGCCTTCAAAATGTGGGATTTCAGGGCTCTTCTGATTGACATATATTCTACATCTCTCTGGAAAACCAAACAGAATTGCTCAGGGCTGATTTGAGCAGGGAGGGATGAAAAAGAGCTGTTAGCTGCTATGGCGCTGGGTGCTCCTGGTAGAGGGAGCAGGGAGGTGTCTTCAGCAGTGTGGGCTTTCTTGGGATGTGTCACCTTGTCAGAGCAGTGTGTTCCTCCAAACACATCAGCTGGAGGAGTAGAGAAAAATGAGTCAGGCATGCGGTGTGACTTGCTGAGCACAGCCCCCAGCATGGGGAAATGGGGAGGACAGGCAAGCTCCAAGCAGGGGCTGGAGTGGGGCAGTCACCATGTTGGATGCTGGCTACCATATGCACTGTGGGACAGAGGAGCTCTGCGAAGCCTTTTGCTGGATTGTCCAGGCTTCCAGAAAGCTCTTCTAGGGACAGCTGGGGAAGTAGTGATGGATACTCTGAGCCATCAGGTCTGCCTTTGGGTAAATCAGCAGGAAGAGATCATCCCCCTTTTGCAGGTGGGATATCTGCACCACCTTTTGGCCAAATCAGAGCAATTTTCAAGTTGATTTTTTTTTTTTTTTTAAATGCAATATAATGTTGCAAATGAATGAAAAATTACTTTGAAGAGGAACAAAAATTTGGGAGCCCACCTACCTCCCTGGGATGGCCCATCCATGACAAGCTGGAGGAGAACTTGTTTCATCAGAGCTGGAAATGTCTTGTTGATAAAGGTTTGATCTACTGAGAAAAACCACCAGTGCCCTGGGGAATTGCAACAGAGTCATGAGTCAGAAGCTTTCCAAGATCACAAGCCAGGTCCAGATGATTATGAATCAGAGTTTAGAAACAGCAAATGGTTTTTACCCCCTTGAAAAGAAAAGCATTTACTAACAGACTCATTCAGGGTGGCTCACATTTTCCAGACTTCCTCTGAAGCTGAGAGAGGGAATGGGCTGAAGCAAAAGCAGAGCTGCTCTTGCAGTGCGGGTGCCTGGGAACAGGGAGGTAAAAGGTTATGATGGCAGAGCTTGATGTGAGATGAGTGGAGGCTGGAGAAAGGCTGGTGCAGATGGGAACTCAAGAGGTGTGACAAGAGAAACTTCCCAAGATGGCCAAAGCTCTCATGGATCCAGTTCCCTAAAGCTCTGTTATCTGACCAGTTTGCCAGGACTGGAGCTTGCAGGCCTAAGCTTTGCAGCACAGAGATCTTGCCTGTGGTATCCAGTTTGGGTTTGGAAGCAGCTGGTGAAGACAGGGCAGGTGAGCAACCTTGGGGCATGCCCATGGAGGGGAGAAGGACGTGGTGCCCATGGAGAAGTGTGGAAGATGCCTGGAGGAAAACTGAGGGTGTGGCTGGTTGCCATTGGGCACGAAGGAAAGAAGTAAATCACTTTGCATCAGCAAGGTGAGGGTTAGCTGCTGTGCAGTGATCAGCTGCTCTTGTATCCTGAGGATGCTGCTCAAACATGACTTTTCCTGGAAAAAAAAATACACCACAAACAAAAGCAAACGTAATAACCAATATCATAATTTGGCTATTTTTTAATCCATAGTGATTCTGTGTTGGATTCTTTGCCATTTAAAGCTCAACAGAAAAAAACAGAAAACTGTTTTGTTGCTCTGATATTGAGCACTCTGACGGTTTGGGAAGCAGGATCCTGTGACTGGCTGGTGTGAAAATATTGCTTATTTTCTCCAGCCGTAGGAGACTCTTTGGAGCCCAGAGCAGTACATCAATTTGTTTTCTCCTCTTTCCTGAATTGAAGTGCTGTCCCTGGGGCTTTTGATTTCGGGGGAGGAGGCTGAACATAGCCACAGGCAAGAATTAGCAAATGATCATTTCTACTTTTACCAAAGCTTCTGTTTGTTACCCTTCAGCAAGGGCAGCGCAGCCATGATAACAACCTTTGGAAATCTGCAGGCATCGGCGGTTTCGCCTGCAGATGGGTATTGCTGACAACAGTGTCTGAAAACAAAGGCATCGCATAAATCATAGCTTGGGTTGTTCAGAAGAGGCCGTGCCTGAATGCCAATCAAATGCTTCCTGAGGAGGATGGATGTGACGGGGACAGGCGATGTGTTAGTGAGGATTACTGAGCTGAAATTGCCTGGGTTGCAGTTGCACAACTCCCTGGTGTGGTGGCAAGCCCCCAGCCCAGCTCCTGGCCCATTTGCCTGTGCTCTCCCACTGCTGCAGTGACACCAAACAACACTCAGTCCCCAGAACCTTTCCCCTCAGCTGCTGTGGCTTTATTGGTTGAGGGCACGTGGCTGGAGGAATAGCTCTGAGCTGCAGTCACTCCTGCTCACAGCAGTGGCTTCAGGGCACTGCCCCTTGCAGACATGGTCCCTGCTCATCCCTGCAGTGATCCTGGGCAGAGGGCAGCACTAGTTGCTGGTGCTCCTCAGCTCGACTCCTGGCCTATGGGCAGTGGGAGTGTGTGGGGTCAGACCCCCAGCAGCTGCACCATGGAGTTCTGCTCTTCTCACTTTCCTTGGCAATTTTGAGGAAGTGGCATAATTTTCCCACTCTTACAGAAAAGGCCAAAAGCAAAGAATTCCTTTATAAAATTGCTTTTTTATTAAACCCTTTCTGCCTCCCGCCTCCACATTCAACTGCCCCTATGACTGCCAGGGCAATCCAGGGCAGAGCCATTAAGTGCTGTGCTCAGTAATTGGATGAACGCAGTTTTCAATCTCCTCCAGAAAGAGACTCCACTTTTTTCTGAACTAAGAGCAGTTCCCTGCCCACTCCTTCTTTCTCACAGCTGAAGGAGATATGAGGGTTTGGCACCTTCCTCTAAAGGTTATGGACTCCTGGAGGATGATCTGTTCTGCTCTGACCCCAGGACTGATCTGACCCAGCACCGCATGTGCATTATCCAGGGCTGGATCTTGCTCAGTGGTGGGTGAAGAAGTGGTCAGGTCATG